CTGTTTTCCATAGTGGCTGCACCCATTTGCAATCCCATCAACAGTGCACAGGGTTCCCTTTTCTCCACAACCTCGACAACACTTATTTGTTGATTTATTAAGGATAGTCATTCTGACAGGTGTGAATTGATTTTAATTGTGGTTTAAATATGCATTTCCCTGATGACTAGTGATGTTGAGCATCTTTTCATGTCTGCTGGTCATCTGTACGTCCTCTCTGGAGGAATGACTCTTCTGGTCCTTTGGCCATTTTTAAATTGGATTGTTTGGTTTTTTCGTGTTAACTTGTACGCGTTTCCTCATATATCTTAGATATTGACCCCCGTGTCATATTGTTAATTAACAATGTTGTTCATGAGGTAATTCAGATTACATACGTTTACGAATATCTTCTCTCATTCAGTAGGTTGTCCTTTTTTTTTGTTGATGGTTTTGTTCGCTGTGCAAAAACATTTCAGTTTGATATAGTCTAATTTATTTTTTTTCTTTTGTTGCCCTTGCCTGAGGAGACATATCCAAAAAGATACTAAGAGTGATGTCAAAGAGTTCTTGCATCTATGTTCATCAGGATACAGTCCTGTAATTTTCTCCTTCTGCAATGTTTTGTCTGGTTTTGGTATCAGAATAATGTTGACTTAATAGCATGAGTTTGGAAGTGTTCCTTCCCCTTTAATTTTCTGAAATCCTTTACGAAGGATAGGTATCAATTTTTCTTTGAATGTTGGGTAGAATGCACCTGTGAAGCATTCTGGTCCTAAACGTTTATTTGTTGGAAGGGTTGCCATTACTGCTTCAATTTCACTACTAGTAATCAGTCTGTTTACATTTTGTATTTCTCCCTGGTTCAGTCTCGGAAGATTATATATTTCTAAAACTTTATCCATTTCTCCTAGATTGCCAAATTTGTTGGCATATAATTATTTATAGTCTTCTTTAATGATTCTTTGTATTTATATTTCTGTGGTGTCAGTTGTAACTTCTCTTTCATTTATGATTTTATTTATTTGGGCCCTCTATGTTTTTTCTTGATGTGTTTGACTAAAGGTTTGTCAATTTTATCTTTTCAAAGAGCCAGCTCTTAGTTTTCTTGGTATTTCCTACTGATTTTTGGTTTCTATTTCACTTATGTCCACTATTTCCTTCCTTCTGTTTACTTTTGTGTTTTGTTTGTTCTCCTTTTTCTAGTTCCTTTAAGTGTAGAGTTGGATTGTTTGAGATTTTTTTGTTTGTTGAGGTAGGCCTGTATAGCTATGAACTTCACTTGTAGAACCGCTTTTGCTGCATCCTACAAACTTTAAAAAGTTGTAATTTCATTTCCATTTGTTTCAATATAGTTTTTGATTTCTTGTTTGATTTCCTCTTTCATCCACTGGCTGTTCAGGAGCGTGTTTTTCAGTCTCCTCATATTTGTACTTTTTTCCAGTTTCCTTCCTCTAGTGGATTTATAATTTCATGCCATTGTCGTCAGAAAAGGTTCTTGCTGTGATCTCAAAATCCTCTTGAATTCACTGAGGCTTGTTTTATGGCCTAATATGTGATCCATCCTGGAAAATGTTCCACATGCACTTGGGGGAAAAAAAAGTGTATTCTGCAGTTTTTGGATGAAATGTTCCATGCATGTCTATTATTAGTAGATCTTGTCTACTGTGACATTTAAGGCCATTATTTCCTTACGTTCTGTCTGGATGATCTATCCATTGATGTGAATGGGGTATGAAAAATCCCCTACTATTATTGTATTACTGTGGAATTCTTCCTTTATGTCCACTAATAATTGCTTTATATAAGTAGATGTTCCTATGTTGGGTGTGTAGATATTTACAACTGTTATGTCCTCTTCTTGGATTGACCCCCTTATAATTCTTTCAGTCTGTACGTGACTTTTGATTTGAAGTGAGTCTCTTATAAGCAGCATATAGATGGGTCGTTTTTTAAAATCCATTCAGCCACCCTGTGTCTTTTTATTGGAGCATTTAGTCCATTTACATTTAAGTAATTATTAATAAGTGTGTACTTATTGCTCTTTTGTTAATTGTTTTTTGGTGGTTTTTTAGAGTTCTCCTGGGTTCTTCTTCTCTTGATCTCTTCCCTTGTGTTTTGCTGTTTTTCTTTAGTGTTCTGTTCAGGTGCCTTTCTCTTTGCTCTTTGTATATCTTTTGGAGGTTTTGATTTGTGGTTACCATAAAGGTTATATTCATCATTCTTCACCTATAGCAGTTTACTTTAAGCTGATAGGCATTTAAGTTTGAATATACTCTATAAGGACTAGTTTTCATCTCCTCTCTCCACACGGTTATTGATGTCATATTTTAAATCTTTCTGTTTGGTGCATCTCCTAACTATTGTGGTTTGAATTTGATCCCTTTTTCTGTTGACCTTCATAGCTTTTTAAATGTTTATTGTATTTATGAAATATTTGCATAAATATATGAGGTTTTTTTTCCCCTTTCTCGTAGTTTCTTATTTCTGGTTGGGGCCTTTCCTTCTCTGCTTAAAGAAGAGCTTTTAACATTTCTTGTAAAACTGGTTTAATGGTGATGAACCCATTCAGTTTTTTGCTTGTCTGAGAAACTACTTCTCCTTCGATTCTGAATGACAAGCTTGCTGGATAAATTATTCTAGGTTGTAGGTTCCTCTCTTTCAGCACTTTAGAGATGTTCTGCTTACTCTCCTCCGCCTGCAGGATTGCTGATGAGAAACCAGCCGATAGCCTTACAGGGCTTCCTTTGTATGTAACTCTTGCTTCCTTCAAGATAGTCTTTGATCTGTATCTTCTCCTATTTTAACCACAACATGTCTTATTGTGGGCCTGTTTGGGTTCATCTTGTTTTGAGCTCTCTGGGCTTCATGGACCTGGGTGTCTGTTTCCTTTCCCAGGTTAGGAAAGTTTTCAGCCATTATTTCTTTAAATAAAGTTTTATGTTCCCTTCTTTCTTCTCCTTCTGCAATCCCTAGAATGCAAACATTTAAGCACTTGATATTATCCTAGAGGTCCCCTAGGCTATCCTTGGTTTTTTTCACTCTTTTTGCAATTCTGATTGGTTGGTTCCCACCAGTCTGTCTTCCTGGTCACTGATCTGTTCTGTGTTCAGCACCCTCCTACACCACTGCCCGCTGATGGATTTCTATCCCTTGCAACCAAGAGAATCTTGACTAACATAATTCAAGACTAGTGAAAAAATGAGTTCAGTTAGTGTTTTTGAGGATACAGTGGGCAAAAATATGGGGTGTATGTTGTAGGGTTAATTACACACACTGTCAAGAAGAGACAAATGCAAACGAATATCATGCCACCAAGGAGAACATAAACCCAACAACTGAAGAATGGAATAAAATACCCAGGAATGAGTTCACAGGCCAGAACATAAAATGTACATGACGGCAAGAAATACCAGTGAGCTACAGAGGTTCTTATCTTGGACACCCACTCCCTCACCCCCACCGCCCACACTTGGAGGTCCCTCCCTACGCACGAGGGGGAATGGCGTCAAACACACACCAGCCACAGGAGGTAGAGCGCAAGGATGACTTGCAGAGGGGCTGACCAGATCATGTTAATGTATGTGGTCAGGTCCATGAACCTCTGGGCGTCCACAGACATGAGGTTGACGATCTCCCCGACCGTAGAGGATTTTCTGGCAGAATTGGTGATCACCAGGGCCTATGGGACAAAGGAGAGGGAAAGAGGGTGAGTGCGGCTGGCTAAGAGCCCTCAACACCGTCTCCAGGCGCGTGTGGAGGAAGGAGATCGATCGCCCAAGAATGGAAAAAGCCACCGCTCTTTCCTTCTCCCCAGCTGAGCTGTCTGCCTTCCTAGCTTGTCCATCTCATCGCGAAGCCCTCGCTCTTATCAACAGCCCTCACTGCCTCCCCGTCAAGCTCTTCGATATGAAGTCGCCCGAACCCAGGCTTGGCACACTTTAGTGTGTGCCCACTTCACTTGGGAAGTGTATTCCCATGCAGGCTCTGATTCAGCAGGTCTGGGTGGGGCCGGAGACTCTGCATTTCTAACAGACTCCCAGGTGATGCCAATGCTGCTGGTCCCCAGACACACTGAGGGATCAATGTCTAGGCCAGGGTTTCTCAACCTTGGCATTCCTGACCTTTGAGGCTGGATCATTCTTGGGGGGGCTGTCCTGTGTGCACTGTGGGGTGTTTAGGAGCATCCCTGGCCTCGCCCCACTAGGTTCCCCCACCCCCAGGTATGACAACCAAAAATATCTCCAGAGATGGCCAACATCCCCTGGGGCACAAAACCACCCAGCTTTCTCAAACATGATTGCACATGATTACCCGGAGACTTTCAGAAAGATTGATGCCCAGGTCCCACCCTCAGAGATCCCGATTTAGTGGGTCAGGGTGCGGCCTGGGCGTGGGAAGTTTTCGAAGTTCTCCAGGTGAGTGTAACATGCAGACAGGACTGAGAACCAATGATCCAGTCCATCTTTCCCAACTATCTACTAGATAGTCTTTTCCCAACCTATGGGGCCCAAGTGGTGTCACTGTCCCAGGGGCTAAGGAACAAAGGGAGCGAGAAGGTAATCCAGTTCCTTTGAAGCTGTTTGTGCCCAAATGCCCGCTACATAGTCTATCATCTAGGGAAGGGACCATCTACTCAGTTGAAATGGAGAGTCAGGACAAGCTCAGACACAGAATATTAATAGCAGAGCCAGCATTTAAACCTGGATCTCCCCAAATCAAATACCACCTAAGAAATCCAATTACCCACGGCTGACATGGGGGCTCACCCACATCCTACAGGCTCACCCTGAAATCAGCTTGGCTGTGGCCTAAGACCTGACGGTCAGTCCTTGCTATCTGCAGTCATCAAGGCCACCCTCGTGCTACTCTCCAGAAGCTGGGCTTAAACGCCCGCGGAGGTCCCCACTGACCCAGCCGCGTGCCTCCAGGTTCTGCCTACGTGCCCGTGACCCGGCCTCCCTCACCTTCCGGTAGACGGCCCCGATGACGGCGGTCTTGATCCTCATGCCGCTGACGAAGCAGATGTGGAAATACTGATGTAGCACGAGGGTCTGGAGGCAGGCGCTGATGAACAGGAGTGCGGTGTAGAAGTAGCCCTGCCAGTTCGGGGCCTCCTTGTCGTTCACAAAGTTGATGAGCAACCTGCGAAGGAGCAAGGACAGAGCCCGAACTGAAGTGGCTGTGACACACACGTGCAGGGACACGTCCTTTGGTTTCAGAGTTTTGACTTTCTCCCAGGCCAGGCCAGGCGGGCATTACCACTTCCGTTTTAGACATGGAAAACCAAACCGGGGCGTGATCTGGCTGTGTGTGGTCACCCAAACGGCTCCTGCAGGCCAGGGTGCCTCTGCCTTAGGCTTCTCGCACTGATGGCTCCATCTCATCAACCAGGAATCACCCAAAGGTGAGCAAATAGAGAGCAGATGGGACAGAGTAGGGAGGGTTAAAAAATAAATGTGTGCCCCCAAGAGACACACAGAGAGAGAGGAAACAGAGAGTGTGTAAAAAATGGAGGGAGAGAGGGATGGAGGGAGGGAGGTAAGCAGAGACAGGAGAGAGGTGACTTCCTTTCTGACTCTCTGGTTTCACACTTCGGTTTTCATGTGACCTGACGCTCCTCACTTCCCAAGACAATCCTCTACCTTCCCCTTTGGGTTTCACGGAAGCCTAGTAGGTTTCTGTAACTTGCAATCCAAGTGGCCTTAATTAAGATGCTTTTAAAGAAAAGCAGGTAGATGGGGAGATGGGGCTGTAAGGCCCCTGAGCATGTCACATGGCCCGAAGGGAGAGGCTGGCGCATCGCGAGGGGCGGGTCAGGGATGCGAAGAGTTCCCCAGTTGGGAGAGGTCTTACTTCAGGATCTCTGGGCCGGTGAACATCATCAGGTCGTGCACGGCCTTGAACAGGAAGCTCATAAGGAAGTAGGGTCCGAAGGTCTTGTAGAGCACCTTGAACAGGGACGGGTCCCGCTCCTTCCGGGAGGGCTTGACAATCAAAGCCTCGGCCTCCTCGTTCACATCCACTTTGGAGCCGCTTTTAGGCTTGGTGGGATCCTGGGACGGGTACACGATCTTCACCAGCTGCCTGGAACACAAGGAGTGTGGGGCCACGGAGGGGTCAGGACTCAGCCCGCCGGCTCCGGGGACAGGGCCAGGGAACCCCGCCCTCCAAGGAGGCCTGGCCAAAGAAATCCAGTCACCGCAGAGGCATCTTAACATGGTGGCTATAGACACAGACTCAGGATCCTGGCTCAGCCACTGGCCAGCTATGTGACCTTAGGCAAGTTCCTTAACCTCTCTAGGCCTTAATTTCCTCCTCTGTAAAATGGGGATAAAAATAGGACCTACCTCATAGGGCTGCTGTGAAAATTAAATGAGTGACTATACATGAAGAGCACATAAAAAAGTGCCAGCCCCAAAATGATCTACAGATTCACTGCAATCGCTATCAGAATCCGCCAGCTGGCTTCTTTGTAGAAACTGACAAGCTAATTCTAAAATTTATATGGAAACTCAAGGGACCCAGAACAGCCAAAATAATCTTGAGAAAGGAAAACAAAGTAGGAGGACTCACACTTCCCAATTCAAAACTTACTATAAAACAACCAGAATCAAGATGGGTGTAAAGACAGATGTATGTATAGATCAATGGGCCAGAATTAAGAATCTAGAAATAAACCTGAATGATTTTTGAGAAGGGTGTCAAGACCATTCCAAAGAATAGCCTTTTCTATAAATGGTGCTGAGAAACTAGATGGCTACAGGTAAAAAAATGAAGTTGGACCCTAACTTCACAACGTACATAAAAATTAACTTGAAATGGATGAAAGACCTACACACAGAGCTAAAGCTATGAAATTCTTAAAAGGCAATACAGAGGTAAATCTTCATGACCTTGGATTTGGTAATAGAGTCTTAGATACGACACCAAAAGCAGAAGCAACAGAAGAAAAAAACACAGGTAAACTGGACTTCATCAAACTCAAAAACGTTTGTGCTTCAAAAGATACTATCAAAAAAGTAAAAAGACAACCCACAGAATGGGAGGAAATATTTGCAAATCCGAAGTCTGTTCGGGGACTTGTAACCAGAGCATATAAAGAACACTTCCAATTGGATAAGGAAAAGACAACCCAATTTAAAAGGGGCAAAGAGGATGTGCAAACAGCCAGTAAACACATGAAATGTCTCTCAACATCATTAGTCACCAGAGAAATGGAAGTCAAAATCACCATGAGATATTACTGCACTACGATAATTATCACCAGAAAGTCAGATAAGAACAAGTATTTGCAAGGATGTTGAGAAACTAGGCCTTCACACGGGCCCCTATGGAGGCCCCGCCCACTCGGAATAGGATGCTGTAGAAATGATGGGGGACCACTTCCAAGATCTGGTCGTAGGACACACTGCGGCTTTCATTTTGCCTTCTCTTAGGTCATTCACGCTGGCCAAAGCCAACTAATGGCCATGTCGTGAGGACACTCAATGAGCCCTCCGGAGAAATCCCCGTGGTGAGACCTTGACAGTAGCCGCACTAACCTGCCAACCGTGTGCAACCTGGAAGTAGATCCTAGAGCCCCAGCCGAGCCTTCAGATGACTGCAGCCCCGGCCACCAATGTGACTGCAACCTCAGGAGACCCTGAGCGAGAGCCACCCAGCTAGGTCACTCCCAGATCCCTGGCCCAGAGAAACTGGGTAAAATAGTAAATGCTCACTATTATTTTGGGCTGCTAGGTTTTGGATAATTTACAGCAACAGATACACCGCCCCCAACTCCCATCTACCAAAATGCAATCAAGGTAAACCCTCAAATAGCCGAACGTGGGCGCCACCGCTGAAAAACATGCCAGAACTTGATCCCCACCCAACAACCCTAACATTCACGGCTTGCAAAACGCTTCCACGGTATTTGATTTCAGGGGCGTGTTGCTTGTCACCATTTATGCCACATCTGACCATTTGGACCACATGAAACTCCCTCCTGGAGACCACAGCCTTCCAACACACCTTGGCTCTTTCTTCTGTCCCCACTCCGAACTGTGGTCCATGGTCTAGGCTCCGTCAAGTCCTTATCTGTCCCTTCTGTGCTCCCTGCCCCAGGAAAGGACCACAAACAGGAATCATCCCTGACCCCACCCCCTTCATGCTCCCTAAGTCTGTTCAGGTGTGTGTCCTGTCCATTCCACTTCTGTGATGTGTGTAGTCATCCATCCACTCTTCCCATCTCCACAGCCTCCAGCCCACTTAAGTGACCATCTCTGGGACCTCCTCACCACTCCATTTTCTTCCATTCTTGTTCCCTTACAACCAATTCCCAGTGAGATTGTCCTAAAAACACATCCTTCTCCTCCTTCAACTCCTCTGACGGCTTCCCACTGCATCCAGAATAAAATCTAAACTCTGTGTGACGCTGGACAACTTCCTACGGCCGCTGAGACACATTACCACTAACTTAGTAGCTGAAAACCACACACATTTACGATCTCATACTTCCAGAGGTCAGAAGTCTAACGTGGGCCCATCGAGTTGCGTTCCTTCCAGAGGCTCTCGGGGAGAAGCTGTTTCTGGCCCTTTCCCAGCTTCTAGAAGCCGCCAACGTTTCCAGGCTCGAGCCCCGTTCCTCCATCTTCCAAACTGGCCATACAGCATCTTCACCTCTCTCTCTGACCTCCTGTCTCCCTCCAATAAGCACAGTGGCCCACCCAAATAATACACAACCATCTCCCCATCTCAAAACCCTACCCTTCGTCACATCTGTCAAATCCCTTTGCCATATAAGGTAACAAGTTCACAGGTTTTGGGGATCAGGACAAGGACATCTTTGGGGTGAAGGGTCATTATTCCACTGACCACGGAGGGTTAGTTCCGTTTTCTGCTGTCAGCAGGACCTCCTAAGGTCCTTCCCAGATCACTTTCCTGACTTCCCTAGAAGCTGGGCTTCTGGCGAGTTTTTAGTACGCTTTCTTTTAGCTCACACATGCCTCCTTGGCAAGGACGACAAGAAGGTGGGCAGAGAGGAAGGGAGTGGCTCAGCCGTTCCCTGTCCATTATCTGCACCACTTCCCAAGCTGGGCCCTGGCCCTGGGCCTGTGTGGCCTTGCTGACCCAGGGCTGTTTTCGGTGGCCAGGAGATGGGCTGCCAACAGGGAGGAGGACGGCCCAGGCCTGGGTGGAAAAGGTCAATAAGAGTAGAAGGGGGCCGGCCGAGTGGCGCTATGGTTAAGAACTGGCTTGGGATGCCAGAGGGCCCCGGTTTGGATCCCACATATGAGGGCCAGTGACACTGCCCTCCACAGCTAAGATGCTGAACAACAGCTCAACCTGGAGCTGGGCTGCTGTGAGTCGCCAGCAACGGCATAGGCTGCAGCCCCTGTGGCAGTGGGTTGCCATGGGCTACTGTGTGTAGCCAGTAGCCAGCGTGAGCAGCCAGCAGCCGCAGTGAGCGACCGTCCAGAAGCTGGTGACTGGGGCCGGCTGAGTGGCTCAGTGGGTTAAAAGCTCGCTCAAAAGTTTGAACTCTGAGCAACAGGGTCCCCGGTTTGATTCACGGTCCGAGCTGAGCTGCTGCTGAGCTCCAATAGGTGCCAGGATGGCTCAGCTAAAAAAAAAAAAAAAAAAAAAGCCGGCAACTAATGTGCCTCGCCCGGGAAGAGCGCAATGATGGTGCCAACTTGGGCCAGTGAAGCAACGTCCTCCACAACTAGACTGAAGAACAAAACGACAGCGACTTGTCTGTTCCCCTTCCCCCAATTCCCCAGCACTGTTCCCTTCCCCCCAATTCCCCAATAAAAATCTTTAAAAAAAAAAAATAGAGTAGAAGGAATCAGCTAAGGCCTAGTCAGGAAAAACATATCTAGGGAACACGAGGCCTACAAGTGAGGAAGGCGTGCCCGGAAGGGGGAGGAAGCAAGTCAGGCATCTGAACGGGCCAGCTGGGAGGGGAATGGAAAGTTGGAGCAGGAAGGACTGAGTCAGGAGAAAACTGTCCAGAACAGGGAAACAGAAAGGGGCAAGGAAGCTGGAAACTGGGAAGAGAAAGGGGCTTGCTGACTCAGCTAGATTTCGATGTGGGCAGAGGTGCCCATCCCAGTCACTCGTCCACATATGAACAGAACACCCGCTCAGGGGTCAGGCACTGGCAGAGCCCCACCATCAAGGGGACAAGTGAGAGAAATGCATCAGAAAATGCGACGTCACAAGCCTGTGTGAGGGGAGCGATCATGGCGGTTTCCTGGAAGAGGTGACATCCAAGCCAAGACCTGCAAGACGAGGGCACAGGTCCAGCTAGGGAGGGAAAGGGTGCTACAGGCAGAGGGAAAAGGATGAGAAAGACCTGGAGCTAAGGATTTTGAGAGAGGTCAGGCAGAACCTTCCAAACAGCAGAACCTTGGGGGAGCCAGCGCAGTGAGGAGCTGCCAACGGCTTTGTCACTTATTAAATAAGATTCCACATTTTCAGGAATATACTCTGGGCATGGCCTTTGACCCATAATACCCAATATAACACAGAAGGGCAGATCTGATCTGCAATCACAGGGAATGGATGGGACAAACATAATGCACATTTCCACTCTTCTTAGAGCTCACAATATATAGGACAAGTTTTGGAAGCCACGGAAGGGTATGACACCCACCCTCGCATACACAATTCCTTGGAAAGTCCAGCCCTGGTAGGATTTTATGCGTTGCTTACAACTGTAAATGACTCAAGATGTTCTTCCTGTTTATTGGTTGTTTTTTTTTTTTTTTTGAGTGCTTTTGCTTCCTTAAAAGCAGAGGCTTCGCAAGGTGGGGCTGTTTTGCAAATTTGCCTGCTCTGGTTGTCACAACATCTAAGCCAAATACCAGGCCGTCCGTGAGGTCCCGAACAGTCCGGAAGGAAGTCAATCCCACCAGGAATCCATCCACGTAGGTGAAAGGCCTGCCTGAAATTACCTAAGTCTAGAACCCAGCTCCATCTCCCAACATAAATCCATACACAGTGTCTATGTTCCTTTTGCAAGCTTAAATATGCCTCCATTTTTTTTTTTCAGGGATGTGACAATTGTGTCCACATATTTTGGAAAGACCATATATTTTGTTAGGAACTTTGCCAGGGGTTGGTGACCTCTTTGCAAAACCTGGTCTGTGGGAGCCATGATGGCTCTGGTCTCCAGAACTGCACACGCCGAGTCAGTCGGGATTTGCGGCCGTCACAGACCCATCTCTACTTGGGAACCAGCGGCGATGCTTCACTTCACATTCCAGCATGCGCCTGGGCAATCACACGTGGAAATACATGTCCTTCTATCACAGACTCCTCACCTTTCAGTTTTCCTTTAAGGTCTAGAGAGGGCATTCTGCTGATTTTATAAGTTAAGATACATGGTGGATTGTTTTTATTTATCTGTTTCCTTAAAGGTGAGGAAGAGAGTGATGAAATAAAAAGGAGTCACTATAGTCAAGCTGCTAAATTCCTAGAACCAAGTAGGTTGAGGCCTAAGGAAACGACTCTATTCTTGTTTGAACTAGCCAGAGGACTTAAAGTGCTGACCTTTCCAGACCTGCGTCAATACCCGGATACACATCAGACCTCCAGGTAACCCTCTGATTCCCTCCTGAAGGACTGAGGAAAGAATGTTCACGTGTGCAGACGGCCTGACATCCAGTATCCAGACCATCGGTCATCCAGAGGATGACCAATCCAGAGACTAAAAACACAGGACTGATTCTTCTCAAGAATGTACTGTTTACCGTAAGAACTCTTAGCTTGTCTTCCTTCCCTGGAACACCTGAAACTGCTCAGAGACCCAGCCTTTCCCCCAAGATAACCAGCAACCCTTGAGGCAGCAGGAGACAGTAGCCCAGACCTGTCTAACAGTCAGAAGGTCCAGACACCTGGCAGACTGAAGATAACATCTTGACCTAAGTTATGCTTTAGTTCCTGAGCCCTAGGGTGGAACAAACCACTGGCCGCTTTCCCATGACACCGGACAGAGGGATGCCAGAGCAGACCTCAAGACCTCAACAAATGATTTATTACCCTTGCCTCACCTCTGACCAATCAGTTCCCAGCACGACCCAAACTCTTAACCCACGGTGTCTTGTGAGTTTGCCCTATAGAACCTGTGACCCACATGCCATCAGGGAGTTGGGTCTCAGCCTCCCTGTCTCCAGACTGGCCAATTCAATATTACACTCTTTTTCTTTCTAAACTGCAAACTCCTGCCCAGGCATCTCTTTGGGTCAGTGCACAAAGGCAGACGGACTCAACAACACTTGGGTCCCGGTAACGCATTCTGAGTATTGCCTAGTTGGTTGCCAGTTTGCAGACCCTAAGACCCTTGAATAAATCTTTAGCATTCATTTCTAGCCAGACTCTTTGTGAATTCATTCGACAACACCCAGTCAAGGAGGTGTTACAAAATCTTTGTCTTCAAGGGGACCGTGAGCCTGAAGGGTTGAGAACCACTGCTTAACATGCATATTTTGGAGAGTTTGGTTTTTTGTTTGTTATTGGATATTTGCATTCCTTTATGAAATAGAGACAATTAGGTAAAACAGTCACCCTTTCTTCAAACATTGCTTTTTAAACATATAGCTTCCTTGGGGTATAACTGATACACGATCAACTGCACATAATCAAAGCGTATGATGTGATGCGTTGTGACATATGTCCACACCTGTGAAACCACCAGGGAAATCAAGGTAACGAACATATCCATCTTCGTTCTGTCCTGCCTCTGGGTTATTCCCTCACACACGTCTCTAACTCTCCCCCTGTCGCAGAAAGCCACTGACCTGATTTCTTTTACCATAGAATCATTTCCATATTTTAGGACTATGTATAATGGAATCACCTAGCATGTACTCGTATCTGGCTTTGTTCACTCGGCCGAAGTGTTTTGAATGTTTTTCATGTTGTCAAGCATATAAATAGATAATTCCTTTGTATTGCTTCAATGTATTCCCTGGAATGGCTATTTTCTATGATTTGTACGTCTATTCATTGTGAATGGATGCCCGGGTTGCTTTCTGCTGTGGCCATCACAAATAAAGCTGCTGTGAACATTCCTGTACAAATCTTTTATGAACATGTGTCTTCAGTTCTCTTGGGCATACATCTAGAAGAATGGCTGGCAGTATAATAACTGTTTCACTTCTTTAAAACCTGCCAAACTCTTTTCCAGAGCCGCAGAGTCATGTTATAATCATGCCAGCAGGAACCACAGTCCCAAACAACCTTAACCTATGGGAGGCCACAAATCTAAATTTCCACTCCATTTTGTTAACCTCAAAACCATTAGATACCAACCAAATGAAGAACTGGATTTTAAAACCCAAAGGTGGAGGGGAGGCAGCTCAGGGCTCAAGAGGGGGGCTAGAGAGGGTGGGAGGTTGGGAACCGAGGCCAAGAAGCCAAGCCAGACCCCGCCCAGGGCGCCGTCACCTGTTCCCCAGAAGGCCAGGGACATCCAGCAGCCCAGAGCCAGCACCGGCTACCTTTGTTCTCTAGCTAACTGAACAGGCCTCGTTGCACAGGGACACACCAAATTCCGGCCTAGAATAGGACTCTCCCCTCCACTCCCCTCCCCCATGTCCACAGGAGCCAGATGTGGCTTCCGCCTCTAGAGACAGAGCGAGTGACTCATCTGCCAATGTCCCAAGGTAATGAACCCCCAAGCTGAGAACGCCTGAAGGCCAAGGTATTAATGAAGCCAGCGCCCCTCGGGTGGCCCGTGTTCAAACTCAACAAGCCAACTGTCGCCATGTCCTTCCAGGCAAGATGGAAGCACCGAGACTGGTGCTGTGCCCAGGTGAATAAACACAACTGCTGGCCAGGACTATGACCTGACTTATCAGATGGCGACATGGCTTAGCAGACGATGACATTTATCTCACTGAATTCTTAGAAAGCCCTGTGAAAACTTAGAAAACTAAGTTGACAGGCAGCCCCGAGGCCCCCACCCGGGTCTCCTTGTCTCCACTCTCACCCACAATCCACCCTCCCTAGGGCAGACCAACTGGCTGTTATAAAACAAACTCAGACGTGCCACTGCTCTACATCAAACCCATCTCTACCATCTCACCACACTTGGGATCAGGCCCTAACTCACTCCCATGACCTGGGGGACCCCTGTAAATACTTCTCCTTTATCTCCTCTGGTTCTCCCCCTCGCTCACTCCGCCAGGGCCACACTGGGCCCCTTGCTGCTCTGGAAACATGCTGAGCTCACCTCTGCCTCAGGGCCTTTGCACTCGCTGTTCCCTCTAACCGGAAAGCCCTTCCCCCACATAGGTGCATGGCTCACTCCCGCCTTCAATATGAGTCTCTGCTCAAATGTCACCTTCTCAGAGAGGCCACCCTTGACGACCGCATCTACACCGGCTCCCCCAGGCGCCCTTGCCCTAACTTCCTCATTTTAATCTCATCATGACACTCAATGCTCTCCAGTTTCTTGTCAGTGTGTGTTTGACTCCCAACGTCCTGTCTGTCTCACATCTAGAATGAAAGTGGCACCAACCACGGAGCCTGTCTATTTTGTTCCACTCTCTGAACCCCCAGGGCCTAAACAGCGCCAGGAACGTCTGCAGTGGTCAACTGTATCAGCTGAATGAATCGATTCAGGGCCAGGCCAATGACGCGGCTCCTTGTTCAAACCCCGTCGCCTTGCTGCCGGCCTCTCCCCCAACACCTCCAGCCACCTTCACTGGGTGAGCCCCAGGGACACAAAATGGGGCAGCGCCTGCCAGCCACCGTGGGTAGAAGGCTGAACCAAGCAGTCTGTGAGGCTCAGGGGACAAGGAGTGGGGAAATCCAAGCTAAGAACATGGCCTTCTTGTCAAGACGGATGCCGCAGGCCAGGCACTTAAAATGGCAAGAACGCTCAGGACGCCAGATGCCCGGACACAGGCTGAGGAACTGACTCCGGGAGGGCAGGGTCGCACGCCCTGGCCACACCCTCACCGAGGGTCATGGCCAACAGAATCAATCACTTCTGCCATGGACATTTTTCTCTCTTCTTTTCTACCCAAATGGCCGTAGCTACAGGTAAGATGCCATTCTGATGAGCAAACCGTGGCTGGGAGGAGTGATGCAACTTGCCTAGGACCATGAAGCTAGTAAGAGGTGGCACTGCCACCATTCTGGGCCATGGTGGCGGGAGGGAGGTGACCAGGTCGTCCCACAGTGTGTCTGGCTTTCCCCTGTGGCAAGAGGACTCGTACTTACTTTCTGGATTTTGCACATTCCTTCTTCCAGTTCTTTACCAACATGGGCACCACTTCTTCCGACATGTCCTCCTTGTTTAAGGACCAGAGGTCCGTGCTCTCCAGGGGCTGGCGGTAGCCCAGGATCATCAACCTGGGGCCAAAACACAAAGAGGGAGGAGATGACAGTCGGGACAAAGGGGATGATGGCAGTCACCGCCTCCGCAGACGCCCCCACGCCGTGGCAGTCCACCGCAACCGGGAACAGGGTGCAGTTGGGACAATCCGAATATGGATGGGCACATTACATAATCATTGCTAATTCTGTTAGGTCACCCAGGAAAAATGGCCTCGTTTTTTAGAGATACATCCAGAATATTTAGGAGGGAGCTATCAGGATAGCTCCAATTTACTTAAAAAAAAAAAAAAAAAAACTTTTGAAGGCCGCTATGGCAAAGCATTAACAATTGCTAAATTGGGTGATGAGTTTAT